TGACCATACGTCAACATCCGCCTTTTTACGGTACCCTTAAACGTCGGTTAGTTGACGATCCCGGGCCGTCATACAACTGACGCTTTACCTTTAACGTCGGTTAGGTGACGGGGTAGGGTTAGGTCTGGGGTAGGGTTAGGATCCGATAACGTCATCTAACCGACGTTTAAGGGTACCCTAAAAAGGCGGATGTTGACGTAAGACGTCCCAAGACGTCAGTTATATGACGTCTTGGGATGGGACTGCGCTGAAATGTATTGCTAAAACATATTAAAAAGACTGTGAACTGTGAAGTACTGAATTGTGGCGTTAGACCATTAAAGAGTTTTTCACCATAGCTATTTTCCAGATTTTTTTGGGCGGGGCTAAAACAGGGCTCGATGACGCACTGGAGCTCGTGGACACGCCCCTACTTGATGACGCTCTGAGGCTGGCCCCTCCCCTAACAACAGAGCACATTCGCCGCTCAATCGCGAGTTACTGTCAGTACTATTAGTTACTCCAGCGTACAGTTTGCTAGCTAGCTAAGCCTTCGACACGGAAATGTGTAGGCTACTACCTGGATGCGATCATGTACAAAACAGATTGGTGTCTTTATTTAAATTTCCTAAAAACGATCACATCAAGAAGAGGTGGATTAATTTTGTGTTTAGCCAACCTTGATGAAGAGCTGAGAATCACCCGCCTCTGTAGTGATCATTTTACACGGATCATTTTACATCATTTTAAACTTTCGTCGGAGACAGCTGGGATTCACTGATAATCCGCTGTTACTGGTGAACGGGGTCAAACCGACTATCCTTCCCTATCTCACGACCAATTTGTACGAGTGATTAAAAAGTTGCTAATTCGTACGACCTCACTCACCACACTCGAATTCATACGATTTGTCTAAACCCACGTGATGGTTAGGTTTAGGGCCGGCGTCAGGGGTAGGTCATTCGTTCGAATTCATACGAATTGGCCAATTCATAAAATATGTACGATTTAGCAAAATCGTACTAATTTGTACAAGTGAGGTCGTATGAATTAGCCACCTCGTAAAATTCGTACGAATTACCGTGAGATCGGGTTGGACTATCTTCCCCCTCGGCCTTCATCCTCCCGTCCCAAAATATCTCCGTCGGTAGCTTTCCCACGAGTGGGCGTGGTTTCAGCGCCGCCAGCGTTTGAGAGCAGAGAATACTGCTCATTTTTTTCAGGATTTTGATAGCTTATTTTATGTACTTGCTGGCAAGGCGAGCATTTGAGCTTATAAAACTTAAACTTTGTTATTTATTTATTAAATGAGCGATCGTTTCGCTTGATAAGACCCTTATTCATCGTCTGGAATCGTTTAAAGCCCTTTGAACAGTTTGCATTGAAACACTCATTTGGACCTTGAACCGTTTGGTTCCCATTGAAGTCCATTATATGGAGAAAATGCTGGAATGTTTTCATCAAAAACCTTAATTTCTTTTCGACTGAATAAAGAATGACATGGACATCTTGGATGACATGGGGGCGAGTAAATTATCAGCAAAAGCTTTTTTTTAAAAGTGAACTACTCCTTTATTGATTATTTTTAAGTATCACGTCAACAGTGGTAAAATTGTTGGACAGGTATTAGAAGCATGTAGTATCTGTGAACACATTTTCTAAGGATGTTTTCATTAATCAATAATGAATGTCAAAGGCTTGATCATATTTCCAATTGACTCACAGTGTGGTGCAGTTCTTCGATGTGGGAAGAAAAGGGTTCTTGAGTGATTGTGTTTGTGAACGCTTCTTTCTTTCCTCCTCACACATAAGAAAGTTAGCACATCTCTAATGCATTTTTTTAAGGACATTAAGTTTACAGGCCATATTTAAGTTTAAAAGCCTGAAGTAAATTAAAGTGATCTCACACACTCACGCAAAGTCTCTTTGCAGACACTGCTGCCACAGTAAATCAGGTTTACGTTTCTAAATTCACCGTCCTTCTTTGCTTTATGCAAATCGAGCCTCATATTGCAGAAGCACAGCAGAGGCCAATGGCATTTACTGTTCTTGGCAATCGCCAGTAAACATTGTTCTAATACCTTTGAGCATATAATATATGAAAAACATACAGTCTATTATGCATGATCTGGCTGGAGAATACAGACTGTGGATTGTAACGATGACTATGACCAATTTCTAAGGATCTCTCGCTCTTATCGTGTCAAAGCCTGTATTTCATATTAAAATGAGACCTGAGGGCTGAAAAGAACATGTTGTCAAAACCTCAGAGTTGGAAAGAGAGACAGGCCGCATCCCTTTGATTCCCTCTTTGTTGGAATGCTAATTCAGGGCGCTCAAAAACAGAGAAAACAAGGCGTGTGTGTGGGTGTGTGTGCGCATGTCTTCATTGCAGATCATAGGATAGTGGTGTATATGTACAATGATGGCATGAAACCGCATTGTCATGGTTGAAATATACTGTGAAATATAGTCTATATTATAGTCAATATGATGTTTATCAGAACTGAATAATAATTAATAAAAAAAAATTGGCCTCACTGACTGAAATCCAAATGGACTCTCATTGACTACCATGGTCTATAAAACACATTTAATGTTAAGTATACAAGTTTGAGGGTGGGTAAGTTTTTGTAATGTTTTTGAAAGAAGTCTCTTGCTCACCGAGGCTGCATTTATTTGACGAATATACAGTAAAAACAGCAATATTGAGAAATATTACAACACTATCTCACGACCAATTCGTACGAATTCGACGCATGATTAAAAAGTGTCTAATTCGTACTAATTCGTACGACCTCACTCGTACTAATTCGTACGATTTGTCTAAACCCACGTGATGGTTAAGATTAGGGGCGGGGAAAGGGGTCGGTCATTCGTATGAATTCAAACGAATTGGCCAATTCGTAAAATATTTACGATTTAGCAAAATCGTATTAATTCAAACGAGTGAGGTCGTATGAATTGTTACGAATTAGCCACTTTTTAATCATTCGTCAAATTCGTAGGACTTGCTCGTGAGATCGGGTTGAATATTATTAGAATGTACATTAGCTGTTCTCTATGTGAATATATAGTAAAGTGTAAAAAAAAATATTTTCAAGATTTGTTATTACAACATTTTTTCTTTTGTCAAATCAACTTAAATAATTTATTTAGTTGAGATAACTTATTATTTTGAGTTTCTGATGATTAAATTAATCTCCTTCATTGTATCAACTCACTTTTTCCAGTTCAATCAACTTAAAATTTTAAGGCAACCCAGGTTACTTACTTTTTTACAGTGTGTGATCATTACTCAAGTCTTCAGTGTCACATGATCCTTCAGAAATCACTCTAATATGATGATATGAGGATCAAGAAACATTTATGATTATTATCAATTTTGAAAACAATTGTTCTTTGAGGAGTTTATTGTTTTAATGCGTCCAAAAACAGTATTTTCTTAAATGTAACATTGTGGCAAACGATTCCAAGCAATATTATTAATTAAATTTAACAAATTAGAATTGAGTAATAATTAATCAAATTAATTCCTTAAAAGCTAATCATTTAAAATTAGTAAAACTTGCAACAACAACCAAAAAACAAAAAACAAAAAACAAAAAAAAAAACATAAATTTAAGTCACCATTATGGTGATCGGTGTTTGTTTTAAAATGACGGTTTTCTCCTTCAGTGATTAATTAAAGAGTTCGTAATTAATCTTTGACGTCTGTCTGTTAGTGAGATATTTTTGTTAATTTTTTTGGTGTAAACTTTACTCATTTTAAATGGTTAGCTTTTAAGTACACAATTCTATTGATTAGATAAAGCATATGCATTTTTACAATGTACTTCATTATATTAAATATCTATAAATTCTGTGAAATAAGTTTTATAATATATTTAAAAAAAGAATTGTGTTGTATTGTAAATTGTATTGAGTATAATTTATTAATAGTTAATGTTCCTAGAAATACCTTTTATTTTGCATGTATGATTAAATGGGTTACAGTGCTCAAATATAAAGGTTTGAGACATCTGACACAGAGTATCTGTAGTTTGGGAAGTGAGGTGTGTTCCCGATGTTTTGGCTGGAGATTATAGTATTAGCATTAGCATGCACACCTGTCTGCGCTCGCCACTTCCTCTCTGTTCTCCAAGCCAGATGTTTTATGAATTCCACATTCTGCTGTTTTGATTCATGTGTTTCCCAGACCTGTCTCCTTATTATTCTTTTTCCTTTAGCATGCAACACATTCTTTTTTTCATAAATCCGGCCAGCTCTTACACTCACCGTGTATTATAGAGTAAACGCACCACCTTTGCTTTTTTCAGAAGGTTTATGGCTGTAATTAAGAGATGAAGCATCTCGCAATGTAGGAAATGTCAGGCAAAAGGAACAATAATTAACTCAACTCATGTCTGTGACAATAGCAAGACATTTGAAAGCGGAAAAATTCAGATAATATTTAACTCAGTATAATTAGTGGTACTAGCATTGTTATTTATATCGCATATTTTGAACTCAATAATAATACTGCAGTGGCACTAACGTACAGTGAAGGCATCAGGTGACCAAGAATATATTCTACTATGTTTTTCCTCCATTGAGATAAATATAGACATGCAGCTGAAATTAAAAAAATAAATAAATACGGAGGAAATGGATGAAAGTTTCAAATGTGAGAGGTTAATCACTCCTTTATTTTGTACAGTTTTTCTCTGTAAATGACATGCCAAAAATGGTGAGGAAACCATTAAGACGCTCTTATGAGGCTTTCAGTCCACTTGAGTCCAGCAGGTGTTCAGTGTAACCAGACATAAAAACACTTTCAGTTTTATTCTGAAGAGGGTTATTCAACAAGGAGAAGTCCTGTTGAGGCGGTGGCCTGCTATTAACTTCCTTCCACTAATCTCCACGACGGAGAATATCTGCTAAAGGACTCGAGCTGCCATATTTTACAGTTAATTTGGTGTTTTAATTCCTAATATTCTCCAGTGAGATTATGTCTGTACATTATTTTTTTGATTGGATTTTCAGCCCCTGGATTTGTATTCCAGCTGTTCCTGTAAGATTAGGAGGAGAGAAAACATGTTATCATCTGTTCTCTGACACATTGAGCTGTGCTGCTCATATCGGTAATCCAGTTCAAATCTTGCCAATCATATCTACACTTAACCAAATAACAAAAAATATATATATATATAGGAATGAAAGAATAGCAATGAAACATTTCTTAAAAGAAAGGAATTTTAATATATTTTTATATATTTAGTGAGGCATGTTGTCTAATATATATACAGTATATATATATATAGCTTTGAAACAAAACAAAAAATGGAACAGAAAAAATATTTGTTTTAAAAAACATTTAAAACATTTGTGAGCATATATTTATGAAAAATACCCTGTTGTACTAAATGTGCACTTGAAACTTCAATTAAAAAAAAAAGTACTTTCAGATAATATGATAATGAAGTAAAAGGCTACTTAGGTGTAATTTTGCACTAATATCAAATTAAGTGTCGTACTTTAAAGTCCATTTTAAATCATGATGTTTTAATATTTTGTTGTGCTTTAAAAAAAAATACACTTTTAACATGTTGACAACCACATGCAAAAAGTACTCTACCTAATTTGATCAAAGATTATAATTGTAAATGTAGTGTGTTAATTTTAAGTTAATTATTTGAAATGTACAAAATTACAAATTCAATACATCAATTTCGGCAGGAGAACAAAATGTAGGGAAGTGGGTTAGACAAGTATCCCTCAGAAATACTCTGACATCCTTCAGACCATTAAAAGGCGAGGGATTGCTCTTTAAAGGTCCTTAATAACAAAAGCGAATACTTACCACCTTATTTATACTGGCTTGAGGAACAAAGTAGTATCAGAGCTGCGAAAGGCTAAGACTAATTATTTCTCTAGATTGAAGAAAGCCAATGGCAACAGTTCCAAATTGTGGCAACATATACACAGACTAACCAAAAAAACACTTACAAATAAATGAAAGTCTTAAAGTTTGTAATAATCTGATTCATGAGGCTATATTATTTAAGTCGGTACAATAATTAGCAAGTAAATTTAAATATATCGAGTAATCTCCTGAAGAACTTGCTCACATCACAGGCTCCTTCTGTATTAAAGAGGAATCTTGTGATAAAGTTAAAAAGCTGATGAAACATGAGTAACTCCATTCGCAACATTCACGCTGCATTAATTAAGAGATGTCTATTGGAGCCAATTATTTATTCAGTACACTCTAAAAAATGCTGGGTTGTTTTAACCCAATTTTGGGTCAAATATGGACAAACCCGAAATGTTGGGTTAAAAATGTAATGTAAAAATTTAACCCAACGGCTGGGTTAGTCCATATTTGACCCAAAGTTGGGTTAAAACAACCCAGCATTTTTTAGAGTGTACATTTGTCAAAACAAACAAAAATATTCCAGAGAGCCG